CAGGAAACTAACATTTCCTCTCAGACGGTTTCGCTGCGTAGGTGTAGATATTTAGTGGTATCGTTGTCCCACAGTCCATAACTACTGTATTTTCCGCATAAGGTAACTATGTTTATGAGTCTACGAAAAGTAATGTTCTCCAAATATAAATTCAGTTAATTAGTCAATTTACATAATTCAAAGGAATTCGCAGGAACATCTGGGAAGTGAATTGTCACGTCACACTTCTGATTGGTACTCACTTATACTGCTACTATATTCAGATTGTTGCAGAAAATTCTAGAAGCCCAAATTCATCTGAAATACTATAAATATCCTCGATTTTCTTCACATAAAAGAACCTTGGTGTAAAGCGATCTTTTTACACTTCATCCCTTTTTTCTTGTGTTCAAGTCTCCGTGTAGATTTGACCTGAGGTAATTAGAAGCGCTTAGAAAACTGATTCAAGCGTTCAGTTGGAAAACTTGTCGTTTATACATTGTGATGTTTCCTCTTAATCTCTAGTACTGTATCCATCTAAATGAGGATGGAGTTTAGTAAAACTATAACTTACGCCTGATAACCATCGTGGAGGAATGCAGACCGTCCCCCAGGATTCTCCGTCGAACTCTTTCCTGGGCTCTCCTATGCAGTTGCTATTGATTCTTTTGATTTCGCCTTCCAGTTTCGGATTCAATGTTTTAGTGGTCAATCATTTTGTCGCCAATTAGATTGGACGACGACGTTATCGATTGGCTCACCACTTTACTGGCCCTTGTATCTGACTCCAGTTAGATCGTTTCTGATTGTGATCGAAATACACATACCGTCGTTTATAATTATCTACTTGAATTGCGTTAGTGAATGACGGAATTTAGTAAGTCAAATACGAGGATGGATTTCGAGTAAGTATATTTCATATAACCATTGACACAAACAGACGATCAACGAAACGAAGAGGAGAGAGCGAAGCAAGACGAAATGACGCGCGGTGGAGAAGGCGTGTTAGTCAACTCGATTTACCCAACCGTGACTCAATATTTATAGTCAGGCCAAAAATAAGTTACAGACACATAACAAACAGGGTAAGTAATTAACAGGCATACGATCACAGAAAAACAGTCAGGGTTATTAAGCGAATAAGTATTAGGGTAAAAATGTGGCTTGAGAAGAATTAATAGACCGGTGTGTTCAGAGGCTAAAATAACCTATTTCAGTTTGATATAGTACTAGCTCCTTGGTCTTCCTCTTTTCCGTTTCCCTTCAAAATTCGCAGTAAGGGCTTGCCTTGTGAAGAAGTCTGACGATTTTTGTAATATACGCCCACCCCACTTCCAACGTCGTTTCCTTATTTCCTCTTGAGCTGGAAGCCGGTTTGTCCTCTCCACAGTAGGCTGATGTTGATGGTATCCGACCAACGGATATTCAGTATCTTACATAAACAATCGTTTGTAAATATTTGTACTTTTTGGTGATGCTTGTAGCGGTTCTCCACGTTTCAGCTCCGTACATAGTACTTCTGACGCTCGCATTGAAGATTCTGACTTTAACATTTGTTGACAATTGTTTTGAGTTCCATGTGTACTTCAATTGTGGGAACGCTGCCTGTTAGGTAAGAACTGAATACATTTGGCTGATTCCAACCTTTATATTGTATATTAATACTTTTACTGTGTTTTTCGGATGTATTTGTTTTACTCAACTCCTGAAATTGTTTGTTTATATCACTATTTTTGGACATTTTGGTTTATTTTGTCTTTGGTTTGGTATTTGGGAGTTTTTGCTCCGGGAACCTACAAAATTGAAGGTTTGTTTTGTAATTATTACAATCATTGTTGTTAGAACGACATTTGGGTCGAGTATTTGTAAACTGCGAATAAACTTTGGTACCTAAATTGGGGTTTGGTTCTATTGTTAATTTGGGTTCGTAAATTGCAGATAGATCGATATACCGTACTTCAGTAACGGGAACGAGCAAAAACTTGGACGTCAAACTGCCCTTGCCTTTACAATCTTCACTTTTACGTCTGCATCAGATCCTCCTTATTCATCAATGATGCTGATCAGGTGCGTGAAAGTTTCCACCTCTTCCAAGGCTCCTGCATCAAGTGTGATTGGGTTGGCGTTCTCCGTGTTGCATTTGAGGATCTTGCTTTTTCCTTGTGTATGTTGAGGCCCATTGTTTCAGAGGCTTCTGTCAAGCTGCTTATCTTCACCTGCATTGGTTGGTGTGTATAGAATAGAAGGGCCTGGTCATCTGCGAAGCCCAAATAGTCTGGCCGCATCCAAGTTGTCCATAGTTTTCTGTGCTTCCCTTTAGATGTTGAGATCTTCATAATCCAGTTAACCACCAGATGACGTGTCCTTCTTTCCAGTCTGTCGGCACCTGTTCCTCTCAAATCTTCCTGAATAGGACGTGGAGTATCTTTACAGGTACCTCTATGTTTGACTTTGGAGCTTTGGCTGGTACGTTGTCTGGTCCAATTCTGCTTTCCCACTCTTGATTTCTTCGATCGTTGATGGAGTGACATAAATAGTAAGGTCTGTAGGTGCTTATTCGATATCCGGCGGGTTCAGTGAAGCTGGAGTATCCAAGAGTTCTTCAAAAGGTTCCTCCTAGCTGTTCCTCTGTACTTGAATCGCAATGATTGGATTTCCTTCCTTGTCCCTGACCGTTCTCTCTGGTTTATTATATTTCCATGCTAATTTCTTCGTTTTATCAGAGATTTGTCTCATATTTCCTTCTGTTGCAGCGTTTTCATCTGTTATTACTAGGTTGTCTACGTATTTCTGCTTGTCAGCTCTAATGCTCTTCTTTACTTGCTCATTCGCATCTGCGTATTTGGTCAGTGCTTTGGCTTTTTCTGCAGTTGTCCGGCTACCTGTGGTCCAGCAATTCCTGATACGTTGGAATTAGTGTCTCTAGTCGCTTCTCAGTTTTCCTCCATAGTGGTTTCCTCTTCTTTGAGCAGAACTCTTAAGGCTAGGAACCTGTTGCCACAAGCTATCTTGAATTCGTTGTGTTTGTCAGTATTTCAAAGGAAGGCTGTATTAAACCATTGTAATGCTGTTTCTCCAGTAGTTTAATGCGTTTTTTAGTTTAAGTTCCATCTTGGCCACAAACAGGCGGTAATCTGAAGCTATGTCAACTCCTCTCCTGGTTCTCACGTCTGTCATTGACCTTCTGAAAGTTTTACTGGTGCAAATTTGATTTATCTTGTTCTCCGTGGTGTGGTCCGGTGAGATCTATGTAGCTTTATGTATGCGTTTGGGTGGAAATATTGTGCTGTCTATAACCAATTTATTGAATGCACATAAATTTGCGAATCTCTCCCCATTTTCGTTCCTTTCTCCTACTCCATGTCGTCCCGTGACATCTTCATATCCGATGTTGTCCATTTCGATTTTGGCGTTTAGGTCTCTCATCAGGATTGTCAGGTCCTTTGTTGGACTGATGCCCCTCATAAGACTGATCTTTATCGTCTTCATTGCTATCATTCATGGATGTGCAGCACTGGATAATCCAATGTGAACACTTCTTTATTTCGAAGGATGCTTTGATGATCCTGGATCTATGAGATTTTCATCCTATAAGTGATTTTCGAACTTCTTTGGACAGCATCAGCAACTCTGAGTGTGCGGAGCATTTCCTTGTTCATGACTAGAATACAACAGGACCTCTCTCGAATCTAATTTTTTCTGTCCAGAATGCATCCAATACGTTTCGGTTATTCCGAGAACTGCCAAGCTGTATCTCTCTATTTCCGTAGCCACTAGATTGGTATTCCTGGTCTCCTACATTGTCCGGATATTTCGCATGAAGTGATGGTCTTCTAATCTTGAATATGACAGTAAGAGTATCATAATTGAGCTGTTTCTGAATAAGGAATTACAATCTAATCTGAGTAACAATTTTCATTTATTGTTTTATCTGTATACTTCATAACGTCTTCATAATATCTTTTTAGCAAGGTTGTTTTCTATGGGATGCAGTTGCTGATTCCATGCCCAAGCTTATTCCTTTTATCGGGCTTGGGACCGGTAATAACCCTAGAGGAGCTACAGGCAGATTTGGGACTATAAACCTTGAACTAAAACAACTTTCTACTAATTTAAGGTTTTAAATTCAAAAGATTTACGAAAATTCCAGAGACTGGAATTCAGAAAACAAATTACTTTGTAATAATTAAAAAAATTCAGCATATATTAACGGTTTTGAGAGATGGATATGCTCTTTTCAATAATACAGCATTGAATGAAACCATTGGTCACAATTATTCAGGGTGGAAACATTACCAGAATTTATGAAATTTATCTTACTCAAAATATGTTTACTTCGAATAAAAAATCAAATGATCCAACTTATATATAATTTTGTACTTTCACATAACGAATTTGTTTTGGATAGATAACCATTGAAAACCAATGATCATTACAGGGTTATTTTGTCGGCACATTGGACTGCTCAGCGGTTCATATACACGACTCCACTGTTGAGAAAATTCGAAATTTCAATTAAGCGTTTAACTTTCAAATAACAGAGTTGACATCCAATAGTCTACATTAATAACCACAATCAAAAAGAAATTCTATGAAGTAATCTAGTTTTCTCTTCTATTAAAAAACATTTCATTGTAAATCAATTATCAATACTAATAAAATAATTATTACTTTCATCTGTTTTGTTACAAAATATGTTTGTTTTTGTTTTCTTTTTCATTATAATTATAATTTCTATTGACTGATAGGCAAAGAATTAGACAGCAGATTAACACTTTCAATTAATGTACATTTTGATTTTACAAATTCAATTAAAAAATGCATTATTCTAAAAGCTAATTGCAATAAATCATCAAATCTTGTATGATAACATCTAAATTGTTCATTGAATTTCTTCGTATTTGTTGTAATGTTTAAAGATTTCGATTGTTTTTGACATAACCAATTTAAAACACGTTCTATTAGTAAATGTTCCATTTGTTCAGATAAAGGTTGAAGATAAGTTATTAATTTGGCAAATAAACTCATTAAACAAACGACTGGCTAAAAAAAAGATTTTAAAGAAAATAAGTTTGTCAGTGATGCAAGTAATCTAATATATCATTCAATATCAACAGTTGAAATCATGAATCAATTGAAGCTAGACCACCATGGAAAACCTGAAAGCACTGGACGGCCGTCTCGTCCTAGTATGGGAGTTCTCAGCAGTGCGCATCCACGACTACGCTCATCGCGAGATTCGAACCCAGGACCTGCTGGTTCCGCGCGCGAGAGCTTGACCACTAGACCACTTAAGAGGCATCCAACTATGTTAATGTCTAACTTTAATTAATCCACGAAATCGCGTGGCACATGCACCATTGTCTTCAGTGAGCTGATATCTCACAACAGACCTGGTTGAACTCCACTAATTACGGCTTCTCACTAGAACTCCAGGAAATGCCTTTTGAAGTCAGTCACTGGTAGGCAGATGATTATTATCAGAAGAGGTTTTGTGGAGATGTTATTAATTTCAATAGTCGAAATCATGATTCGACTGAAGCTAGACCATCATGGAAGACCTAGAAGCACTGGACGGCAACGGTGTGCGGTGGCGCAACTTTGTGGATTAGTTGAAGTTAAACATTAGCACCGTTGGATGCCGAATGGCTTAGTGGTCTAGTCGTTAAGCGCTCGCGCGCGAGACTGATATGTCTTGGGTTCGAGTTTCGCGGGGCTAGGGTCGTGGATGCGTACTGCTAAGGAGTCTCGTACTAGGACGAAACGGCCGTGCACTGCTTTCAGGTTTTTCATTGTGTTCTAGCTTTAATTGACTCATGATCTCAACTACTGAAATTACTTAAATCTGCACAAAACCCCTTCCGATATAATTCAGTACTTTAGTTTATATTTAAAAGATAAACACTTTAGAAGGTAAAATAAATAGCATACACAACTCATTAATCATTGGATTTTTTTGTTGCTCAGAATTAATTAACAGTCTGATCATCATCTAAGTATTTTTATAAGGAGTTAACTTGATATATACACATTCGGATATACTTTTATTAACGAACAATGTTTTCTGATCTCACTTTGAATAGAATAAGTTGATTTGTATAAGTTATCAACATACTGTTGAATTAAAAACTGAGAGGAATCTAATTAATAGCAATATTATTCGTTTGTATATTTTATTATACATTATGCAATGAGAACTTTATTGATATTTTATAATCAAGCAAAAGTCAGTTATGAAAATGGCAAAAGATGATGTGATGTCACAATAGCAAAGTTCTTTTAGTTAATCAGTCATAATCAACGCAGAGCTTGGCATAAATGTATGCTGACTCAAGTAGCCATACCACAATAACAAAATAAGATAAAATTATTAAGTCAGGTAGCGAAAAAGTCAAAATAATGTAGTAGAAAAGGTAACGAAGAAGACAAAACATTGAGAATATGATTCAAAAATACAAAAAAAGGTATGTATAAAGGAATGCTGGGACTCAAGATAAAAGGTAAATACAACTGAGTCGTTATGACCGATCATGAGTCATTTCATATCATTTGTCCTCAACCAGGTATTTTGCACCTGACAACTTGGCTCAGATCCACAGTCAGTGACTTCGTGAATTGATGACACATTTTGGTTCTGCTTCCTCTACCTGAGATTACCCATTTAGTAGGTGGGCGATTAGGTATAAGTGAAGCCCGTTCTAGTCAACTCAGCTGACGCAATTCACAGTTCCACCAACCAATTATCTATCTTTTCTTAGTACCCTTTGCTTAACGTTACCAATAATCACTCTGAGAACCTAGTTGTTCAACCATTTACTCTAAATATGTTTGATAATTACGGCATGAAGTTACGTGCACAATTTATGCAGACTAATTCAATACTCATAATATAATTAAATATATTTCAATTTTCAGGAGAGATACAAAATGATAAGCTGTTTAACTCAATTTTAATTGTTAACAACACACATTCATTTCAAGTATACAAAGTAGTCGATATATTAGTCGCTTTAATAGGGACTCTTGTTTTAATAAATAGTTCATTCGTTCACTAAACTTTACTCATACACTTACTCATGTATTGACTTAATATGCAAAATCGATAATTCATATAAAATTGAGAAGTTCTATCTTACAGGCTTCATACAATAGATAGAAATGAAAATCAATCATATGAGGTTAGTACTACATGATACATCTACACATTTTGCTCCAATAGATTTAGATACCGGCAGTTGGGTTACGCAATTCCTAGATGTCCACAGAAGTAAAATCCATAAAACATTTATGTATATTAAGTTGATTAGTCGTGTAAATCATAGCTTATTTTCATCCGAAAGGTAAACTGATCATGTTCTCGTAGCCCTAATTACTAATCCGTAAAACTGAACTACTAACCATATCAGACGTTGAAAATAGCACTTACATTTTTCTAATTGATAATTTTCACACAGAAAAGATTAAAACATTTTTATTCACGTGGAAATTAATTATTATTTTCCAAAGGAAGAGTACAGGCTTAATCATGGAATTTTATCTGTTATATCAAATAAATTTCGAATAAAAAACTAAGACTAACTTCAGTTTATTGGCTCTTAAATGTTCAATATAAAATTGATCTCAGAAAGCTAATAGAATATTTAATCATTCAAATAACAGGGAACATGGTGAAGTAATTCACATTAAAGAATCAGTCGTAATTAGTTCAAAATAATATCAGTTATTTCAAATAAATAATTTGCATACTGATTACATTTAAAATTGTACAAGTAGTGAAAAAATCATATTTAGATAAAACTGCTCATACTTAACCAAAAAAACAGAATAATGCAATTAGTAAAGATTTGTTCATAATGATGAAAAACCCTAAGATCACATTGCCAATTGACAGTTTATTTGATTTTTATTGACATATACCATTTAACTTTAACATGTTGACAAAATGACTAACTTCAAATTTTTTGGAAAACTGCACACAATTACAATGAACACTCAGTCAAATTTTAATACAACTTGAAAGCAGTTACGATTGTTGACTAACTAAGAATTGATATTATCATTTATTAATTTTTGATAGCGCGGTGAAGATTCAATTACAATATTCAGAGAACACAAATAATCATCTCTCAAAACTGAAGTATAAATCTTAATAATTTTTCCGCAAAGAATTAATGCCATAATTTCCACAGTTGCATGAAACAGATTCCTAGTATCACCAAATCATAAACAGTTAATATATATTTTTCAAAATGTTTCACCAATGTATTCATTTGGTACTGTTTGTTCGAATCTTCCCATTGATGTTTAGGACTGCGACTGATCAGTATCCTATTGGCACGTGTGCATCCTGTACGGATTGCCTCGATATTACCTTCAGGTACAAGCAATATGAAGAAAGATGAATGGTGGTTAGCAGTGGAATCCAGAATGCTTGTTTTGTCCTATTTGGAACTCGTCAGCTGGATTTATCTGCATCCCAGAGTTGATGTTCATTTCAAGATGCAGCTACACCCAGCTGACGAGTCCCAATTAGGACGAAACGCACGTCCTGCATTCCATTGCTAGCCACCATCCATCTGTGCTTATAATCTTTGACCAATATTTCAAAAACTATGGTGAATACTCAGACAAAAGCTTATACTTGTTAGAACATAAATCAATATAAAAATTACCCATGTAAATATGCTACACTCTAACTTACTTTCTCGAAAATCTCTAGAGAAGTTAATATATCTTCTTCAAATAAAGGATTTTGTTGTAAGCTGAGCAAGTCTTGCATTCGAAGCACTGGAGACTATAAAAGATGTATATAAATGTGTAATTCTTGACAGCTGATAACAAAACTTATCCAAGGGAATACTACTGACAATAATTACAAGTACATTTTTTGAGAAGAACAAATCATTTTAAGTTAATGATAAACATTTATCCAATATTTTAGTTAGTGGGGTCATACTATTTTGCATAAAATCGAGAAATTGTCGGTAAATACCAAAGTTGTAATGTTGTGTCAAAAACAATGACACTAATATGATGGAATAAAAAGTCAAACTTAGATTCTTTAACTCATTATGATTTCTGTCCAACATTACTCTCGTTTTAATTCAATGTGATGGTTACCCAGTGTAGTATTTGTTTTCATTTCCTGTGTGATATTTTATTTGATACAACATTGATTTGAGTGTGATGTTTGTTAAAGATACGATATTCTTGTATTAACTTAACATGAACTATGCTTAGCATGACACGCATCATTTGATTTATTATAACTGTGGGTATTATCCATATATATGATTTCATTCTAATCAATAATCAAATTGGGTATACAGTCAACATAAAAATGAGTGTATTTTTGACTAGGATCGTCGTCGTGTTTTGCGTTTAATAGATCTTTTTTTGTACCAGTCTTTGTATTCTTACTTCGCGTCGTGGGAATTGCAGTGGTTCCTCGTTTTACTAGTAAAGTAATCAGTGATTCCAACAAAACAATCAGCGATGATCAGTCATGACAAATTAACAACGAGATATAAAAGTCACAAAAACTGATAGAAACAGAAATATTTAAATAAGCTCAATCTGCATAAAATAGTTATGGAACTGTGGTTTAGTGGTTAAAGCATTCAGCTTTCAACCATCAGCTTTAAGGTTATGATAAAGGTTTAGCTAAGTTTGTTTGGTGATTCGATTCGAAACATGTGGTTCTTATACAAATGGTGTAGCTCGAAAGTGAGTATATAAACTTTTTCTTGGTTGAATGAGTTACAATATTATTTACAAAGCAACTACTTTGTTGATTAGAATAGAAGAATCATGTATCATCAGTCATTATAATGTTGATCTAAATCCCACTTATTAAAACATTCAGACAAAAGTATGTGTTGGATCCGTTTTTAGCAAGTTCAGTATTTTTGTCATTAAAAGAAGTATACATTTTAGCATATCATGACAACCAACTACCATTTACACTGTTTTGTGTTTCACAATAGGTTTGAGAAACATTTTTATTCGGTTGTCAAATAACGTAAAATGATTATTAATTTATATTAGATTATCATCAAGTACGCTGTCAGGTTAGTTACATCGAAAATTGATTTTTCTTTCCATCATATCAATTTCATATAAGGTATTGTGGTGGTTGATTGATGCTAACCAACAACATTCGGTTCTCCAATGAACAATTCTCCAAATAAAAGGTACCTTGAAAGGATTTTGCTTAATCTATGGAATTAACTCACAACTAATGGACCGAACATGACACTAGTTTCTACACGATGATCGATTAGTATTAAAGTTTCAATGCTTAAAGACATCAGTTACAGCCCAAATCACACAGCGATAACGTTTCTCCATATTTAACGCTGGCTAACACGTATTGAAATCCTGCAAAGAATTTCAAGCCTTCTAAGAATATAGACGTCCCTTGTTGGTGAGTTTCGACTAGCATGGACCTTGGGTCTAAGGCACCTTTCTGGGTTTTTTCATGTTCAATAAACATCAAACAGAGAACCCTTAAGTGCTGATTCAATTAAAACAAACGTCACATTGAAAACTGTTCGATAGAATGTGGCCAACACCAAGAATTGAGTCAATTACTAAGTGATCGGTTAATACTTCTTTCTTACTAAATACAATATGTACTGTAGTTCACTGATATGACGGGAAGAAAAGTCAAAATTCGATTGATTTACTCATTATGAGTTTTGTTCAACATTACTTCCGTTTTGGTTCAATGTGATGATTGTTCAGTGTAGTATTAGGTTTTGTTTTCACATATGATATATTATTCTGTATAATATGCGATATTCTTCTATTAAAAACTGACATTAACTATGCTCAGCATATGATTTATTATAACTGTGAGTATTTTTTATGTATGTGATTTCATCCTAATTATTAATCAAAATGAGTCTACGAATCAGTATATGAGTGTATTTTTGACTAGGGTCGTCGTCGTGTTTTGGGGGTCAATAAATCTTCACTTATACCAGTCTTGTGTTCTTACTTTCGCGTCGTGGGAATTGCAGAGGTCCCTTGTTTCGAGTATAAGTGATAAGCGTTTTCCGGCACAACAATCAGCGACGACCAGATATAACAAAGTAGCATTCGAACGACAAGACATATCATTCACAAAGGCCAATTATGATAAGTTAATAAAGCAATCAATGAATAATTCGGCTTTAATTACCAATTGCAAACAATAATGTCCTAACTGATAGAAATATGTCAGAAAAAGATATGATTTTTATCTCGGTCATTTAATAATACTGGTATCAGTTTGCAAAGAATATATAAGTTCTCCACTAAAATAAACCATGCTAATGAGTGCCAACTAATACTAAAATAATTTCTAAAAGCTACCTACTAATTACTTCGAAACCTTCATCACTCAACGGTCATATTGTAGTTTGACGAAAGTAGAGTAATATAATTTTATTAGTTCCAATGTTAAAAAAATGATTGTGAAAAGTGAAATTTAAATATCATACCAACAAACTGATCTCATGTGTTTGTGTTATGGGGCTAGTCAATTTACTGAAAAATAGTTATATTAAATTTAGACTATTAAATTCACTGTATCGTATTCAAAACTCTTATTGACTAAGATGGACAAACTACTTAGATTGTGTAAATAAGCCTTATTTGATTGAAATTAAAATTAGTTTCGCTTTAAAACACAGTCATATTTTCCGTTGATGTTTAGGACTAAAATTGATGTTTCTTTCGGCGTATGTGAATCTTGTGCGGATTACCTTAATGTACATATGCCAAAAGAGACCGATTAATCGCAGTCCTAAAAATCAATGGGAATATTCAAGCAACCGATAAAAATGAGTTAAAATTCACCCTATTGTATGAATCAGTGGTTGTCTGTACCCAGTAGCTAAGTTGATAACGTGATGGCTTCCGAAAAAATTGGCACTGGAATGAAGTCTCGGAGTAAACATCAACTGTAGGATCTAAGTACATCCAGCTGAGTTCAAAATAAAACAAAATATGAGTCTTAGATTCCACTGCTAGACACCATCTGTCTATCAACGTCAGACGTCCTGAAAAGTTTAGATATATACCCATTCATTATTAAATAATAACAGTGAATGTCACGATCAGATCTGTAATGATGAATGAAATTTGTACATCAATCAATTTTTTTTTAAATATAAGCAGTATTATAATGCATTGCTATTTCCTATGAACGTGATTATATAAATCGTTTATAGTTTCTTGTTAAAAATGTTAGGTCATACCTTTAAATGTGTCAACCAATCATCTATCAGTTTCACCAGGACCAATGCATTGAATGAAGTTTTGTCAAAATCATCCCAGGCTTCAGGATCATTGTTGAATTTTTTCTGCCATGTAAAGTAAAGTGATCTGTCGTTAAAACTCTACGAAACAAGTCACAAACTTAAAATACATACGCATAATGAAAAAATAACTTTGTTGTATACAGATGTATTTTAGATACTTTTTATTGAGGTAATGACCATTTTCGAGGGCCAAAACGTGGGCTTTACGAGATCAATTGACATGCAGTCAGACAAGTTTGACTGTGTTGTTGAGAGTCATCTAACCATAATAACAAGAATAGATTAAAACAAAAGTGCAAGTTATTCAAAAGTTTTTAAAATAAAGAGTGTATGTAACATAGCTGACTGTCTGTCTTCAATCCTTGTATAATCAAAGCTCATTTTTGGTACATTACTTTCTAGCGAAACTCCGCCTGGAGTCCCTCCGGGGGCTACTGCCGGTCCAAAGCCCGGATAAAGGAGGAGGGTTGGGCATGGGGTTAGCGTCCCCATCCCGTAGAAAACTAACTCGCTAAAAAACTCTTACCAGAAAAATTAATCCAAACCATTTTAACTCTGCCCTGGGAGTTAGAAGGTCTTCATTTAGAAGAATTATGACGCTTCATGGTGAAAGCCGAGTTCCTTCGGAAGCCACGAGGCCGATGCCCCTTCTAACAACCAGAGCAAAATTTTTTATAGGTACATGGAACGTTCGAACAAAGTTGGGAAACCGGGAAGACCAGTCAAATATCAATGGAAATGAGGAGATACAACTTAGCAGTACTGGGAATCAGCGAAACCCACTGGACCCAAGCTGGACAGAAAGGCTAGCTACGGGAGAGATGCTGCTATACTCCGGTCACGAAGAGAACAATGCTCCACACACTCAGGGAGTCGCTCTTATGCTGTCCAAAGTAGCACGAAATGCACTTGTAGGATGGGAATCTCACGGATCCAGAATCATCAAAGCATCATTCAAAACAAAGAAGGAGGGGATCTTAATGAATATTATCCAATGTTATGCACCCACCAATGATAGCAACGACGAAATTAAAGATCAGTTCTACGAGCGGCTGCAGTCAATCATTGAGAAATGCCCAAGAAAGGACCTAACTATTCTGATGGGAGATCTAAATGCCAAAGTCGGAATAGACAACACTGGATATGAAGATATTATGGGGCGACATGGACTGGGAGAAAGAAACGAAAATGGAGAAAGATTTGCAAATCTATGTGCATTCAACAAATTGGTCATAGGAGGCACAATATTTCCACACAAGCGTATACACAAGGCTACATGGATCTCACTGGACCACACTACAGAGAACCAAATAGATCATATTTGCATCAACAAAAAATTCCGAAGGACAATGGAAGATGTAAGAACCAGGAGAGGTGCTGACGTAGCTTCAGATCACCACCTAGTTGTAGCCAATTTAAAACTGAAGCTAAAAAAGAACTGGACAAGTGGACAAACAGCAATACAAAGGTTCAATACAGCCTTCCTTCGAGATACTGACAAACTCAATGAATTCAAGATAGCTCTCAACAACAGGTTCCAAGCCTTACAAGATCTACTGAAAGAAGAAGAAACTAGTATGGAGGACAACTGGAAAGGCATCAAGGAAGCATTAACTTCAACGTGTCAAGAGGTTCTCGGTCTAAAGAAATACCATCATAAGGAATGGATCTCTACAGAAACACTAGACAAGATCAAAGAAAGGAAGAACAAGAAGGCAGCAATAAACAACAGCCGAACACGAGCAGAGAAAGTTCAAGCACAAGCTGAATACATAGAAGCAAACAAACAAGTGAAGAGGAGCATTAGAGCCGACAAGAAGAAATACGTTGAAGAACTAGCATCGACGGCAGAAAAAGCTGCTAGAGAAGGAAATATGAAAGAGATTCACAATACAACGAAGAAACTAGCAGGGAAATACAGTAAACCAGAGAGGCCGGTCAAAGACAAAGAAGGCAGGAAAATCACCGAAATTCAACAACAGCGTAACAGATGGGTAGAATACTTCGAGGAACTCCTGAATAGGCCGGCTCCAATGAATCCACCGGACATCGAAGCAGCACACATAGATCTTCCTATAGATGTCAATCCACCAACTACGGAAGAAATTAGAATGGCCGTCAGACAAATCAAGAACGGGAAAGCAGCAGGACCCGACAACATACCAGCTGAAGCACTGAAATCAGACATCGAAGCAACCACAAGCATGCTTTATCTTCTATTCAAAAGGATTTGGGAGGAGGAACAAGTGCCGATGGACTGGAAAGAAGGACACCTCGTCAAGATTCCAAAGAAAGGAGATCTGAGCAAATGTGAAAATTACAGAGGCATTACACTACTGTCAATACCAGGGAAAGTCTTCAACAGATTGTTGCTGAACCGGATGAAGGATGCAGTAGACGCCCAACTTCGAGATCAACAAGCTGGATTCCGTAAGGATCGGTCGTGCACAGACCAAATTGCAACACTACGGATCATCGTCGAACAATCAGTTGAGTGGAACTCATCACTATACATCAACTTCATTGATTATGAAAAGGCATTCGACAGTGTAGATAGGAGGACATTATGGAAACTTATTCGACACTACGGAGTTCCTGAGAAGATTGTCAATATTATCCGGAACTCATACGACGGACTACAGTGCAAAGTAGTGCATGGAGGACAGCTGACAGATGCATTCCAAGTAAGGACCGGAGTCAGACAAGGCTGTTTACTCTCTCCCTTCCTCTTTCTTCTGGTGGTCGACTGGATTATGAAGACCTCAACATCTGAAGGAAAACACGGAATACAATGGACAGCTCAGAACCAATTAGACGATTTGGACTTCGCAGATGACCTAGCCCTCCTATCACGTACACACGAACAGATGCAGATGAAGACAGCCAGTGTAGCAGCAGTCTCTGCATCAGTAGGCCTCAGCATACACAAAGGGAAAACTAAGGTCCTCAAATTCAAAGCGGAGAACAGCAATCCAATCACACTTGATGGCGAAACTCTGGAAGATGTAGAGTCCTTCACATACCTGGGAAGCATCATCGATGAACAAGGAGGATCCGATGCAGACGTAAAGGCGAGGATCGGCAAAGCAAGGGTCGCATTCCTACAATTGAAGAACATATGGAACTCAAAACAACTTTCAACCAATATCAAAGTGAGAATCTTCAATACGAACGTCAAGGCAGTTCTACTGTATGGAGCTGAAACTTGGAGAACTACAACAACCACAATCAAGAAAGTACAAGTATTTATAAATAGCTGTCTACGCAAGATACTCAACATCCATTGGCCGGATACCATCAGCAATAGCCTTCTGTGGGAGAGAACAAACCAACTTCCAGCTGAAGAAGAAATTAGGAAAAGACGATGGAAATGGATAGGACATGCATTACGCAAATCGTCAAACTGCATCACGAGGCAAGCCCTAACTTGGAATCCTGAAGGGAAGCGAAAAAGAGGAAGGCCAAAGAACACATTGCGTCGGATAATAGAAGCAGATACGAAAACGATGAATTACAACTGGACGGAGCTAGAAAGGATTGCTCAGGACAGGGTGGGATGGAGAATGCTGGTGAGCGGCCTATGCTCCTTCACGAGGAGTAACAGGCGTATGTAAGTAATATATGTATATATATATATATATATATATATATATATATATCGGTGGAGTTTTGTCCTTTTAGTTAGTTGGTTTGGTCATGGATCTTTGATTGTTATTCTGAAAAACATCGTCAGTACAAACTTCAGGTAGAATTGAAGTGTTTGAGTTTCTCTACATATTACTCGCAATTTATCCTGTCGACCTTGATCCTGACTGGTTATTGTTGACGTTCAACTTGTTATTTTACGCCTCTTTATTTTGATTGTTTCTCCTTTTGATATTCTTGATCTTATATTTGTCCATGAATTTTCTGATTGGTTGATTTCATCCTCAATTAGTTCCTCAGCTATCCTGATATATTTTTACTTGTCTATAATAACTGTAGTGCGTCATTTTTCCGCTTGAACTACGACGATATCTCCTCTAGTTCTATTAACTGCGGATAAAAGCGTACAGAAATCTAACTAAAAGTTTAGACAACCAAATCTCAAGGACTTTAAACTAACTTGTCAATTCGAAACAAATATCAAAATAAGATCAATCGAGAATGAAATCCAGTGGACGAGTACTCCCTCGATTGTAAGGTAGACAGAAAATACACAAACTAAACATCTCACTTCGTCTAATTGTATTATTCCAAGGAACATCAACATACAATTTATCGAGAGAAATTTCAAAAATATTGAACTATTTAGTGGATTCATCAAATCTCACAGAATTTTTATATAAACTTTCCGATTAACAGCGACGAACTGATGATATCCTTCGATGTAAAACAGCCTTATTCACCTCAATTGAACCAAGCTTAACTTGGGGTGATACAGTCAAAAGAACGAGGCGTGAAATAACAGGTTAAAGGTGAACAATAACCAATCAGGATAAACGTCGACAGGATAAATTGCGAGGAGGAGGATGAAACTGCATTTAAATCATCCGAACTTCAAATCTCAATAATCTCTCTCTCCTCTCTCTCTATATATATATATATGTCCATCGTTTAGTGATTTTTTTACTTCACTCCAATATGACATTTTTAATCGATGAGAAATAAAGTTAATCGACTGACATTATGATACATCATTTTTATAACCTCTTGTGTGCACACACAACCCAAAGTGCTGACCTTGAGGCAGCACTAGGTATTACGTTCATACACTTGTTTACGTTTGTATAGACTGAAGGTTTGCGTAAATTTTTTCTTGAGGAATTTACGCTTTGCAACTTTGAATAAATTAACCTGATTAATGATAGAGTAAATATGTTTACTCAAATAATATTACTATTTAAATTTTCCTGAATCTATCTAACATTAAGCAGCTTTCGTACAAGTACATATTTTGGAAAGTACATGACCAACTAAAATATCTAAGAAATATAGGTGAAAAAATACCTGAGTTTATAATTGTGTCTGTTCGTCGTGCTTTTTAGGATACATTAAATAGACTTTTTATAAGTGAAAATTATAACATAACTCCAAAATATTTTATTTGATTCCACAAAATATTCTCACCAGTACTTTATTTTCTTCGTTGTTCAAGCTGAGTAATTCTGTGTGAAATATTTAGAAAAGTTGCTGAATATCTTGCATTCAATGATGTAATGTTGAAAGGACTGATTCTAGTATTCCACCACAACAGCACTTGTGCCACTAGCTTACATAAATACTGATCTAATGGTCGCTAGAAAGTTACTTACTTACGTCTGTTACTCCTCGTGAAGGAGCATAGGCCGCTCACCAGCATTCTCCATCCCACCCTGTCCTGAGCAATCCTTTCTAGCTCCGTCCAGTTGTAATTCATCGTTTTCGTATCTGCTTCTATTATCCGACGCAATGTGTTCTTTGGCCTTCCTCTTTTTCGCTTCCCTTCAGGATTCCAAGTTAGGGCTTGCCTCGTGATGCAGTTTGACGATTTGCGTAATGCATGTCCTATCCATTTCCATCGTCTTTTCCTAATTTCTTCTTCAGCTGGAAGTTGGTTTGTTCTCTCCCACAGAAGGCTATTGCTGATGGTATCCGGCCAATGGATGTTGAGTATCTTGCGTAGACAGCTATTTATAAATACTTGTACTTTCTTGATTGTGGTTGTTGTAGTTCTCCAAGTTTCAGCTCCATACAGTAGAACTGCCTTGACGTTCGTATTGAAGATTCTCACTTTGATATTGGTTGAAAGTTGTTTTGAGTTCCATATGTTCTTCAATTGTAGGAATGCGACCCTTGCTTTGCCGATCCTCGCCTTTACGTCTGCATCGGATCCTCCTTGTTCATCGATGATGCTTCCCAGGTATGTGAAGGACTCTACATCTTCCAGAGTTTCGCCATCAAGTGTGATTGGATTGCTGTTCTCCGCTTTGAATTTGAGGACCTTAGTTTTCCCTTTGTGTATGCTGAGGCCTACTGATGCAGAGACTGCTGCTACACTGGCTGTCTTCATCTGCATCTGTTCGTGTGTACGTGATAGGAGGGCTAGGTCATCTGCGAAGTCCAAATCGTCTAATTGGTTCTGAGCTGTCCATTGTATTCCGTGTTTTCCTTCAGATGTTGAGGTCTTCATAATCCAGTCGACCACCAGAAGAAAGAGGAAGGGAGAGAGTAAACAGTCTTGTCTGACTCCGGTCCTTACTTGGAATGCATCTGTCAGCTGTCCTCCATGCACTACTTTGCACTGTAGTCCGTCGTATGAGTTCCGGATAATATTGACAATCTTCTCAGGAACTCCGTAGTGTCGAATAAGTTTCCATAATGTCCTCCTATCTACACTGTCGAATGCCTTTTCATAATCAATGAAGTTGATGTATAGTGATGAGTTCCACTCAACTGATTGTTCGACGATGATCCGTAGTGTTGCAATTTGGTCTGTGCACGACCGATCCTTACGGAATCCAGCTTGTTGATCTCGAAGTTGGGCGTCTACTGCATCCTTCATCCGGTTCAGCAACAATCTGTTGAAGACTTTCCCTGGTATTGACAGTAGTGTAATGCCTCTGTAATTTTCACATTTGCTCAGATCTCCTTTCTTTGGAATCTTGACGAGGTGTCCTTCTTTCCAGTCCATCGGCACTTGTTCCTCCTCCCAAATCCTTTTGAATAGAAGATAAAGCATGCTTGTGGTTGCTTCGATGTCTGATTTCAGTGCTTCAGCTGGTATGTTGTCGGGTCCTGCTGCTTTCCCGTTCTTGATTTGTCTGACGGCCATTCTAATTTCTTCCGTAGTTGGTGGATTGACATCTATAGGAAGATCTATGTGTGCTGCTTCGATGTCCGGTGGATTCATTGGAGCCGGCCTATTCAGGAGTTCCTCGAAGTATTCTACCCATCTGTTACGCTGTTGTTGAATTTCGGTGATTTTCCTGCCTTCTTTGTCTTTGACCGGCCTCTCTGGTTTACTGTATTTCCCTGCTAGTTTCTTCGTTGTATTGTGAATCTCTTTCATATTTCCTTCTCTAGCAGCTTTTTCTGCCGTCGATGCTAGTTCTTCAACGTATTTCTTCTTGTCGGCTCTAATGCTCCTCTTCACTTGTTTGTTTGCTTCTATGTATTCAGCTTGTGCTTGAACTTTCTCTGCTCGTGTTCGGCTGTTGTTTATTGCTGCCTTCTTGTTCTTCCTTTCTTTGATCTTGTCTAGTGTTTCTGTAGAGATCCATTCCTTATGATGGTGTTCCTTTAGACCGAGAACCTCTTGACACGTTGAAGTTAATGCTTCCTTGATGCCTTTCCAGTTGTCCTCCATACTAGTTTCTTCTTCTTTCAGTAGATCTTGTAAGGCTTGGAACCTGTTGTTGAGAGCTATCTTGAATTCATTGAGTTTGTCAGTATCTCGAAGGAAGGCTGTATTGAACCTTTGTATTGCTGTTTGTCCACTTGTCCAGTTCTTTTTTAGCTTCAGTTTTAAATTGGCTACAACTAGGTGGTGATCTGAAGCTACGTCAGCACCTCTCCTGGTTCTTACATCTTCCATTGTCCTTCGGAATTTTTTGTTGATGCAAATATGATCTATTTGGTTCTCTGTAGTGTGGTCCAGTGAGATCCATGTAGCCTTGTGTATACGCTTGTGTGGAAATATTGTGCCTCCTATGACCAATTTGTTGAATGCACATAGATTTGCAAATCTTTCTCCATTTTCGTTTCTTTCTCCCAGTCCATGTCGCCCCATAATATCTTCATATCCAGTGTTGTCTATTCCGACTTTGGCATTTAGATCTCCCATCAGAATAGTTAGGTCCTTTCTTGGGCATTTCTCAATGATTGACTGCAGCCGCTCGTAGAACTGATCTTTAATTTCGTCGTTGCTATCATTGGTGGGTGCATAACATTGGATAATATTCATTAAGATCCCCTCCTTCTTTGTTTTGAATGATGCTTTGATGATTCTGGATCCGTGAGATTCCCATCCTACAAGTGCATTTCGTGCTACTTTGGACAGCATAAGAGCGACTCCCTGAGTGTGTGGAGCATTGTTCTCTTCGTGACCGGAGTATAGCAGCATCTCTCCCGTAGCTAGCCTTTTCTGTCCAGCTTGGGTCCAGTGGGTTTCGCTGATTCCCAGTACTGCTAAGTTGTATCTCCTCATTTCCATTGATATTTGACTGGTCTTCCCGGTTTCCCAACTTTGTTCGAACGTTCCATGTACCTATAAAAAATTTTGCTCTGGTTGTTAGAAGGGGCATCGGCCTCGTGGCTTCCGAAGGAACTCGGCTTTCACCATGAAGCGTCATAATTCTTCTAAATGAAGACCTTCTAACTCCCAGGGCAGAGTTAAAATGGTTTGGATTAATTTTTCTGGTAAGAGTTTTTTAGCGAGTTAGTTTTCTACGGGATGGGGACGCTAACCCCATGCCCAACCCTCCTCCTTTATCCGGGCTTGGGACCGGCAGTAGCCCCCGTAGTTATATATATATATATATATATATATATATATATATATACTCAGTAAACATTTACGAAGTATGTTTTACACAATATTGAAGTATCTCAGAGTATCTGATAACATCATATTATAATAGTACTAAAGAGATGACAATATAATTTGGAAAATATTTGTTTAAATTGAATAAAAATGAACATACTTTCCAATATTCCGTTTCATTCACAACTGATTCAGGATATTGTGTAGTAAGCAGAGCTTTAATAACAGAGCTTGCACCAACAGACTGATTACCATCTACACTTTGATTTGGAGAATTCTTTCCTAGGAAGTAGAAAAAATTGTTAGAATTTTCAGAGATAAATAATCTCAAATATCTCCGTGTAGAAATGTTTCCTCAAGAAAATATACCATAATTATATGTCAGTAAGTAATGAAATTATTATAGAAAATCATATATTTTTATTTAGTTCAATATTAATAATGAATTTGGAAAAAAAATAAAAACTTTGAAAACCTCTTGGTTGATTGTCTCATATGTTGTATTTATAAGGAGCTCGCAATCCTAACTAAGATAGTGTAGATATCCTCAATTATATTGCTAAATTTTGTTGTTCAATGTTTTATGGACGATGAATAAATCTCGGTAGGACCGGACTTTTATAAACTTAGTATTCTACTTACAATATAGTGATAATATGATCATATGACAAATTTATTTTTAAATACACAATATACTATGATTCCAAGTCAGCCAAACAGGGAATACAGCGGAGTCATTAGGGTAAATGACACAAAGTAACAGTATGTTTTGCTTACCGTTGTATATTCCTTCGCAGGTAAAATGTTGAATAATTTAGAAATAAGCATCACATTGTTAAATATTTGTGGATTAAGTATTACAAATTACTGTATCAAACATAGAGGAAGCAACACTACGAGTACATCTGTGATGGAGTCTTCAATACAAAAACTTTAAGTGAAATAGATTGATTTTTAAAAAAGTATTAGTTTTATGAAGATGGTAGCAACCAATAAAAATGAAAACACAAAGTTTCTGCTAACTGACTACAGATTATGCAAGCATAAACTTATAAATCAGTAATATAAAAGTGATTCATCTTAAGGTAATGGAAATAACTTTTGGAAAATAAAACCAATTAAAGATTATGTTTTTTTAATTATCTTTCCCTTATTCATAAACACAGTACTAATTCAGTTGATACCTGAAATATACACATATTTTTAAATTAAAATAAAGTTGTGTAAGACTGAAAACAGAATAATTTAAGTCAACACTTGTATATATTATTTCCTGGTGCATTCAAGCATAAACTAATTTCAACTAAATTATCATTGAAAATTAAAAAACAACAAAGAATTGTTGCGTATTAGCGTGGAACTTCTTAATAATTCATACTTATGACCAAACAAGGCATCGAACTCATGTCTTTGTAGAGTATCAAATGTAATGAATCTTATAAAAGTCAATCGACCTTACTAACATTCCGAAACGATAAGCATGTAAGCAGAATTTTAGACAGTTCAAACTATTATCGGAAACAAATTACTAATAGACACATTTCAAAATAAACTTTGAAGATTTAGCATATTATTTGTTGTTATCACTTAAAAGCCTTGAATCTTAGCGTTGTTGATGTTAGGGACTCAGATTGGTTAGTTTCTTTTTTTGGCATATGATCATCCTCAGCGGATTGCCTCGACGGTGCCACTATATTACAAGAATTTTTAAGCAATTTTTTAAAAAGTGCCTGATAATGGAATCCAGGACGCATGGATCCCAGTGTTGATGCTTACGCTGAGACTTCAACACAGTACTTTTCACTTCAGAAACCAAACGCGTTATCTTTTTAGCTACTGAATCTAAGTAGCCACTGTTTTTAGAAAGGATTTTGTTGGTAGAAAACTATCCATTATTACACCGGTTTAAAGAGAATTCCCATCGAAAATAAATTACACAATAAATTTACTTGTCATCATATCTTTTTGGAACAAAGCATACCATATGAATAATCTGCAGTTGTACTCGTTAGTTCAGTCGTTTCATCTGGTTGGCAACTAGTAAAAGCTTCTGATTGTGTAACATCTGTTGTGGAAAGCCTATAAACAATCAATAGAATGATTATTTGTAAAGTATATTCAATAAAACATTTAAATATTATTTAAAAAATTCATAAATTTACAAGATACCCACACAAAGCATATTTAAGGACAATGATTAAGTAGATGATATATTCGACTCAAAATCATAAGTAATTTCTATAATTTTTTTCATCTCAAATACCTAATCCTGATTTATAGATGAATTAAAATTTTGATATGCGATAAAGATTACGTTTGACGATACAACTGAAAATTCCTGTATATAAGCTTTGTCAATTTGTAAAAAACATTGAGAATAGATAATGTACTCAAAATCATTAAGCTCAGAGATAAGGACTATCCTTGTTACCTAAAGTAAGCTCAAACTAGTTCAACTTAACTTGTTTTGTTACAAAACTCCATAAAAATTTCAATCCGCACCAAAAACACCCCACTATCATTTGGAAAATAAAAGTTAAATAACTGTTAAGTGTTCAATAATTGTTTATTTACTTAATACCTTCATGAATTAAATCTTATGTGCATAATCTATGGTTTTATCGGGATGTACCTTTTGTAACTCCGCCTGGAGTCCCTCTGAGGCTACTACCGGTCCCAAATCCGGATGAAGGAGGGGGGTTTGACATGGGGTTAGTGACCACATCTCGTAGAAAACTAACTCGCTAAGAAAACGTTAGCCTTTTTTAATGACAATGTGAAAGAAGAGTTTTAAAATATGCTTCCTAGTTAAGTAATAAACTGTGAAAAATAGTTGCAATTTGTCTAACCTTGTTATGGAAATATATATGGTGATATCTAATCTGCACACGTTAAAAGTAAGTAGTTTATTGAATAAGTGTACTGATTTTTTGGTATATTCAAGTCAGACTTGGAAGCTAATAAGCATACGATAGATTGATTAAACTGACAGAATAATTCAACTTATATCATCAAGGAGTGACTGTAGGAATTATTGTTTTGTTATTCATATAACCTATTAGAGTCATTCCTCTGACACAAAATATTTTACTCAATATTACAAGTTGGTTAGCATAAAACGTAACTCAGATAAAATGTAAGCAAATAAAGAGGATAAAAACATACGTTTCATGTGTAATTGCTAACAGCACAAGTATCGACTTAGAGTAATCAGAGCATTGAAACAAAATAGAGAAAAGATCGGTTAATAAGTGAATACATAACTATAGTTCATCGAAATGTAAGTAATAAACTGGAGAACAATTACTTATAGGCTAAAATCCCTGATGATAACTATATGTTAAAGGATGGCGGATGCTGATGATTTCCTATCGTTCAGCCGTTTAGATGAATGGTCAAAGTATCCAAAATGTACATCATATTGTATACGGTCAAAATAACAAACTTTGGGCAAAATATGGACAACGGTCATTGTATTGAGTAAATTTGGTCCATCATATTTTTCTTTCTCAAAATTTATGAACAAACACTTACAAGTGGGAATGAGTTACTACGTATTTTTGTCTGAAAACTCAATAATCTATATGACTTAATAATTAAAACACTTCTCATTCAACTGATTCTATCAGCCTTTGTTCAGTTTATAACTAGTTAATGTAATAAATTGAACAGATCGAATATTGATTAAGATTTACGGTTGCTTAACCGTCTAGATATTTAGTTATTATGTTTAAGTACTTTAAAATCATCTGAATTATTGTTACTTTTCTAAAAAGTATAATTGATTCAATTCCTTAATGAAATTCTGTACTTTCATCATTAGTTAGTAAGTACTATGAAACTATATATACAATCATAATAGACTGTATAAAAACATCACTATATATGAAATATAACAAATATAAAGAAATAATGATTTTAAAACATGATCAATTAATGCATGATTTGTATAACATTCGATAATGATTATAATAGATTATTCTGATATATTATTTGTTATGACAGATGACTGTTTTATAGTCCGTTAACAGATTTCAATTAATGGGTTAAAAATGAATAAGTGGATTAAATTTTAAGGATCAAATGTAAATAATCAACTTTATATTTATTACAATTAATTAATTCAAAGCTAACGACCTAAAACGAAAATTTTATCCATACAATTAAATTTTTAAATAAATCTGCGATTTCAATCCAGATGAAACATTTAAATACATAAAAACTTTGTCCTTTCAACTTTAATGATATATTAATTTAATCATGGATTCAATATATCAGAAGAGGTTTTGTGGGGATTTTAGTCATTTCAATAGTTGAAATCATGAGTCAATTGAAGCTAGACCATCATGGAAAACTTGGAAGCACTGGGCGGCCGTTTTGCCCTAGTATGGGATTCCTCAGCAGTGTGCAATCACGTTCGAATCTCGCGGAGGGTGGTACCGTGGATGCGTACTGCTGAGGAGTCTCTTACTGGGACGAAACGGTCTTTCAGTGATTCCAGGTTTTCCATGGTGGTCTAGCTTCAATTGACTCATGATCTCAACTATTGAAATTATCCAAAATATATATATGGTCGAAGAAAGGTTATGAAGAGTTAAACAAAATACCAATCACATGTTGAAAAATTTACCTGACCGTTCATTTTAAAATAAATTAGATCATATTCGAAATCATAAGGGAAAGAACACGGTAGCCTTAGTTTATTTATCGTTCAAATTAATTCAATGGAAAAAGATGTAATATATATATGATGTAAGCTGAACAAATTCACATAACAGAATAGAAAGCTTTTAACATATTTCGGGAAAGTTTAAACAAAATAATGGGAACTCAATATTTTTGTCAGTAATATAATTTTAGATTTCATATAACATTTCACAATAATGAATCAGTCCAAATCATTTAAAGTTAAATATGATCAATTAAAAAGGTTATAAAGAAATAGAAAATTTTAACTAAACTATTAAACAATGATGATTAAACGAAGTGAGATTAAGTTTCATTATCATTGTGTATTTACAAGTTGCCGGGGAATTTGTCAGTGATTGATTTCTTAGCTTCTTAGTACATGGAAAACTATTTTCTCGAGTTATTTTGGCTAGTTAATCTATAATACTTATGTGAACAGTATTCTCACGTAAGAAGTAATTAAATTACGACTACAACTAGTACAACTAGTTCGATGCTGTAGCAAAATGTACTCTATATCAGCTATATACAAGCAAGTGTTTAGTTAATATCAAACAAATAATATCTCATGCTTAAATTTAAACTTTTTTCGAAACAAAGATATCAATAAAAGGATAGGTTCTTCCTTCGTTTTAAAATGATCATCTATAATGAGACCAACAAGTTCAAGATGCGGAACATTCAAAATACTTGCAGTCTAAAAAAGGTTTAATTTCAGGATATAATTTTACACTAGAACGTTCAGAAAAAATTAAATCTACTTTTTCCAAGAAAAGTAAAAGCTGAGCGTAAGGATTTGTGTATTTCATTAAAACATTTCCTTAGAAATATGGTTAACTACCAATCTTTAGGATTCCTAGCTGTAAGTTAAATGAAAGGAAAAAAATTCCCATCACGTACAGAATTTAAAAATTGCGAAAAGCCGCTGATGACTTTAATCAAACCGTTTGAGTTTTCAATCTAACAACCTGCTTGTCATGATTTTTAATATAAACAGTAGAGGAGTTATAAAACAGTCTTCCCTCATACAAGGCAGACAATTGATTGCCACTCTTACAAGGAAAAAATTATTACAAATACAATTGTATAACTTGTTCACTGGTAGGGTGAACACATGATTCTTATTCACAGGTAAACATGAGAAATATGCATTAATAACAAACAGTAAACTGGTTACCTTTTTGTTGATTGACAATTGTTTTGATCACTTACTATTCGACTCCTATAGTTTGAAGAATCTATTTGTACTGATGTGCATCCTGTCACGATGATTCTGACAAGCAGTTTGCAACACATGTATATAATCTAAAATGCGATGAAATACAGAATTAGGATTTTAGTGTAAAAGCCACATCCAATGGTTTGAATTTGAAAATAACATTTAACTGTTTCCATGGACATTTGTCAATGGTAAAATAAATGTAGGAAAGGATATAAATGACACAAATAGAGTTCTGTGACCAGATATTACTTTGATAACTGATTAGGAACCAATGTCTTAACGGTTGTCGCTCAATACTTATCAAATTCTATCATTTCAGTCTAACTGCTATCTAAAATTTAAGTGACTCGATATCGCAGTCCTGATTATTGCCTACTAGCAGAATAGGCTAGTAAAAATGTGACTTAGTAGTTTTAGTAGATCACTTCACTCTCGTTGTTACAACTTCATCAAACTCGGTTCTCGTCTAGGAACTAAGCATACTAAAAAAGCTTCCAATACATCTAAGCCTTAAACAGTAACATTGTCTGTTAGTTAATACCATGTTGGATTCGAGTTAATAAACTGTTCTACATACCTCCTATTGAAAAGGTGTAACATCTGTCAGTTCAAATGCAGAAGGTGTCATGGTTATGCCAATTTCTTAGAGTATCTATGTACATCAAATATTGCTTATTTGATTGACCACTGGGTAGTAACCAATGGAAAGTTTTTTAGTCTTTATTCCCAATTGAATCTGATTGATTAAGTTGCACTATAGTCATTGGTCGAAGTGTCTCGACATTGCATACATTGTTTTAATATCAGGCGGTTGGAAATGGTCATTTGGTAACATTGGACCTAGATTGCATTCTAGAGAAAGTATCTCATTATGAATGCAATAGCTTGTGATTTATTTTCATTGTTTTGTAGACAAAAGTGAAGACTGAAAACAGAGGTATAACGTTGAATAAATAGTACAGTACAAAATAAATTTTTTAGAGAAAAGTTAAATAATTGCACTTTTAACAATAAAGCAGTAAAAAGAAAAGAATTATCTACCCATTTTGAAAAATATTTTCATTTCATTCCGAGACGAAAAAACGCTAATTCCCCTGATGTGTATTTATATATTTATTCAAGCCTTATATTACCATTTTTTAAACCTTCATATATGCTACATTTCTGTGTGTGGTTACATAATCGTAATAATGATAGTCATTCATTTTATCAGATGAATAAGCTCGCGTTTTACGAAATGAGGATATACTACATAATGAACGTGTTTCAGTATATATATATATATATATATATATATATATATATATATATATATATATATATATATATATATAGAGAGAGAGAGAGAGAGAGAGAGAGAAAGAGTCTGAAAAGCATAAACATCACAAAACGTGACGTCCTTGGTAGTTACTATTGGTGACTTAGCTTTTAATGAACGAACAGAAATGTCAGACTGTTTTCTATATCTCAGAAATCTACTAGAAAGATTACAAGTTCCTCGTTGTTATGGTCGTTATTATATTATTACTGGTTGTACAAAAAGAACCGTAAAGTTATGATCTATTCACTATCTGGTTTCTCTTCAATTACGACTGATAAATTATACTTGATTTCATCAATTCACATTAAGTAATCAGAATAGTAAAATTGTTTGGTTCTTCCATCCATCGAATCCATTCAGGTTTTGTAAATATTAAGTAATGGCACATATACATTCGTTCTTTATCTTCTCTTAGATCTCGATCCTAGAAAATATCTTAAACTTTATATGCCACGGACCTATTTTTCCTTCTTAAATCATACTGTCTGTGTTTGATCTTTTCTACTAAAACTAATACTCTTACTAACTCTACTACTCAAGCATTTATTTTGATAATTACTTATCGTTAATTTGATATGATTAGGTAATATGAACCGACGTACATAAGTTCCACGTTTTAAAATGACAAACTTCACGGGTAAAAATAATATCATAATATCTTGGCTGAATATTTTGTATATATACAAAATAGTCTAGGTTTTTTAATATTCATTTGCCTATTTACCCTGTTATTCAATCTTTCGATATTTAGCTAGTTTAAGTTAAGGGGCTAGAGAGTCTTCAGCTTAGTCCCCTTATCTATTAACGGTAATTTTCACATTCAATTATGCTATTTTAAAAATATACTATATAGATGGGAAGATTAGAAGAAAAGCAATACATAAAATAACTATCTATTTAATTTATATATGAATGAATAATTGAACGATTTGACAGTTTTAAATGAATATGAATGAACAATTTATTATTTTTTATAAAATCGCTTACTTCATAATCACATATTTCAGACTCATTGACAAGAACACGCACTTTTAACAATCATTGACAAGAAGTTTTCAAAATATTTTAGATCTTCAGGCTTTCTGTCATTTAAATAAGGACTCGAGTGCTTTGGAAATTTATTTCGCACAGGTAACTTGTTTCGTTGCACTCAATGATCGATAAACGTTTTTCACTACTTAAGACCGAAACATGGTAATATTTATCCTTTAGCTAACTTATTATGTAACTATCACACAATAGAATAAATGTATATAGAACACCCAGTGAGTTCAGGATGAGTTAGCGCCCCTCAATTAAAAATGAGGGCTTTTTGTTATGTCACTAAACAGCAAGTGCTAGATTCGCACACCGAACTTAAATAACAATACTGTCACAGATGTCCGTTATTTTTTCCCATTTCTTCCATCGTAGTATACACTTTCAATGTATCTTAGATTCAAATAAATTAATGCAAAAGACCTTTTGATATGAAACATTCTCCCAGATAATTACACACCATCATAAAACACAATCTGGCCACCAGTGCACACCATAATTGAATCTGGAAGTGTTAGAAATAATAGACGCGCAAGACTAAAGATCTTGGGTTTGATTTTCGACTGTCTGGCTGCAGATTCTCGCTTCTGGGTCCTATATTGAAACGAAACACCTGTCAAGTTCTTTCAGATTTTCAATGGTTGTTTATTTAAATTGGTTAGCGAGTTCAGAGAGATAAAGGACTCTTAACCCGAAAAAGTTAAACCGTAGAAAATAAATCATAATGAAACAGTAAATTGACCTGTCTAAAAATCAAATGTGATGGTCGACAAACACTACCCCCAAAAAGATGTTTTAATTCATATACCATATTTCCTTTACATTAAATCGAAATCTCTTCTACAATATGATGTCGGAAAACTTTCCTTAAACGATTAGTTATTTTGTAGTTTTATATCACGAAATGACCTTGGTGCGTACTGGTGGCTAACTTTTAGGCGTAATTCCCGAAGTTATAATGGGAAGCCATGACTAGTAGAATACATTCATTTCGGATTCAAGATGAATCTCATTAATCGCAGCGGATGATAGTCTTGCTGTACTAAGAACCTCTGAATGACCATTTAGTCATCAGAGGGCTAATCACTCACTGCGAGGCCTATAAATTTTGGACCTGACTCCTGATGGGGTTACAAAATGAGGCTTGACAAGATGTTTCATATTAGAATGAAACAGCTATCCGCTACTCCATAGATTTCAATTATTTTCCAAATAAGATCAGTCAGCAAAGGAGAACTTTCTCTACAATCGTTTAAACCAAAGAAACTAGTTATGTCGTAATAACTAATAAGTGAGAGAAGAGTGTTTGGGAATAAAAATACATTTAGGCTACAAGTTTTTTTAATCATGCGATAAGTAATTAGGCTTTTAGATTTTAGACAGAAACCGGTGAACCAATCAATGTCCGTTGAGGGACATTTTTACATGATTGTTTCAAAGGTGAAACAGATTTTGCTTTAAAACGAGTAGGTAGATATAGCTAAGTAAATTTCAGTTTTGAACATTACATATGTCATAATTTGTTTATTTTCAGGATAATCCAACTATGAAGAAGATTTAAAAATTTAAACTAAACAATAAGCAAAATAAAAATAGTAATCGCTATAGTTACGTGTAAATGTAGAAAACTGTTCGACCTTTATAAAATGCTTTGATGTGGAATGCATTTGTAAGTGTAAATAACAATGAGGCTTATAATAATATAAATAATTAATTAATTAAAGTAGGTTTACACGGGAGCATATTTATTTTCAAAAGAAAATTGAGCCGGTGGCCGTAAGCTAAATTAAATGTCATCGCTTAACTTAAAAACTACTTTGTTCATGTGAGAAAAAACAATAAAAATATAATATCTCATAATGGCCATCACAAAACTCCAAAAAATGGTTTGTATTATGAAACAAGATCAACATTTAAGTTGTCAATAATTAAAGAGTATTTGATGGTTTTCCATAAGCTAGATATTGTATAGTTTTTAGGTAAGAACTCTTAGCTTCGGTGGCAGATTTGTAACTCCGAAGCGACAATGTTACGTGTCATCCGTATATGATATTTCACTCTAAACAGCTTCAGAACATTAAAGAGGAAGAATGTGTTTATAAAACATTAGGCGTATTTGGTTTTTGATTCAACAATGCCGCTGAGATTTTAAACCTCACTTGCTCAAATTTCTTCGAAATTTCTTATTTAAGCTTTAGAACATGGTTCAAATACAATCTAATGTGATCAATAAACACGTGCTCTGACCAAAAATTATGTCAGTAGTAAGAAATTAGTCAGTGTAAGTGTTTTGTTATTACAATACACTGTTTATAAACCGAAATCTTAATAATTTACAACTAGTTACGCCGGTAAAGTTCCTTAAGAGATATAGGATAACCTTACAATATAACCAAATTTTATAATTAGCAAACATTTAGGGTTATTTTGGTGAATAATATTCGTTTTTTGATGTTAAATGTTATATACAGTCCATGAGGGTTAAGTCTAAATAAGTTGTTGTAGACAAGAGGTTTATTTTCAAACACTTTATTGTTTGATAATTTGGTACAAAACCATTAAAAACTGTATTGTCATTTGTATTTTTGAACACAAATATACATTGCTGACAGTCCAAAACTTGTTGATGTTTTGGGAAATAATACTTTTTGAGCACCTGTCACACTAGAAATCGTGGTTCTCGAGTAAAGTTATAAATCCCTTACTGAAATCTAGTGACAGTCATTGTTAAGAGACCTTTTTACCAAATCATCTTTATAAAACACAAGTATGTGTTTGGTAGAAGAATGAAAGCTAAAAGCCAACTAACCAAGACATGCAAGCACTGGTAGGTCACCTAATGTGCGTATACCAGATAACTAACTGAGTTACGACAGTTAGAATATGACTGGATAAATTCCTAATTCCTAGCTAACTCAATCAATAAATTGCACTTTTCAAAGCTCATCTATCCACGAATTCAAATGGTACACTTCAAATGTTTAAAAAATTGTGTCTAAATGTGTAAACAAAGCATCCTACTGCAGGAAAATGCAAAAAATGTCGACGGTAATTTAGTACGTAATGTTTGGTAAAAAAGTTGCCTGTAACGTTATACGCTATGTCAATAAAATGCCGTATAGCTAGTTTTCACATCTATGCGTCCTTTTTAGGACTAACGTGCATCCATTATGAAATCTCAAATGAAATATGAAAGTTTATTGGCAAATGAATCATTTTGAGGTTTAAAGATAGCATGACTTCCAACAGTTATTAAGACAACCTTTATTATTCGTAAAATTATTAAAACCTATTGATGAACAACGTGTGAAATACATAGGAAATATTATAGAACCACGATTGAAGCAATGAAAATTCTAGAAATCACACCTAAAACCATGCTCTTCGAGTATGGAAATATAAAATAAGTTCTGTATCGGTTATTTACTTAACACATCTAAAGTGCTAACAAAGATGTTGAAATCAAAACTCCAAAATTTGTTGTGAGGATCGATAAGCGTCAATACCATTCACACAAAAGCCATTGAAGAACTTAAATCAATATACTGTTTCCATATTCTATAGGTCTGACTATCATCAGTCATTGTGTTTTTGGCAATAGCTGCTTACTGTTCGTCAAATTAAAAAGTGACAACACAGAAAGACAACAGATAGACTGAGTAGCCTAAAGTAAAATTTATTGTCTCAGGAATAAATGTAAAGAAAACCAGTTGAAGTAATTTACTTTTGGAATATTTCTTAGCCTTATTCTTTCCGGTCCATGCAATAAAACGTTCTGACGTTTAAGAAATGCTTCTAAACTGAACTGCCCGCTAATTTTATCAAATGAAAAATTTAATTACTAACTTACTGTGATCCGAAATATATTCGATAAGGATTCAGATACTTTTCAAATTTATATACGCATCCAACTTGATTCTGGGTTTGTATAGACCCCGGTCTATGGAAATAAAATGTTTTAATACTTCTAACCTTCGGAATCTAACATATTGTATTGCTTCTCCAGCGGAGATGCGGTTATTAAATACTAGATAACAGGCAATTATTACACCAGTTCTACCTGAAAAGTTATGCGAAGATGCATATAAACAAACCAAGTCCGGCATGACAGTGAATCGCGATTTTTCCTTTAAATATTGCAAACTGGATTACCGTCACTGTATCCAAAATGAACTGAAGTGATGCGACATCGTAGTCACACCTTAACACGATATTCGTCAAAATAACTGACACATACCAGCTAAAATTGTAAAAAGCAACTATATATCTTATCTTTTTAGCTCAAAATACACTTACTATTGTTTTTCATGAAGCTTAATGGGTCATATGAAAATCCAGAACTAAGTACACCAAAGCCGCAACTACTGTGTTCCCCTGCTGTTTCCATGTTAAATATGGAGCGAATACCCATTCTTTCAAAAATTTAAGCCATTAATCACTATACCTTTTAAACTGCTCAATTATATCAAATTCTTTAATTAATGTTTCACTTGGTCTAGATGTTGCCAGAATATTTTGTGTAATCCTAAACCTTATATGTAATAATACGAATACCAAGTAGAATATAAGCCTTTTAAATGCATTTTGGTTACGTCGAAAAATGATGAAGGGTTGCAATATTTACATTTAGATCCGCCACAAAACAATAAACAAAGGTTTTTCTCTGGGATTCCTTGTCGCATGATATCAGAAACAGGAGAATTAAGGCTCTTCATACAAACATCTTGGAAGCTCAATAATTACAAGAGAACTACTTCTATATTTTAGGTTGCTATTGTACTTTCCATCCCAATTCAAAATCTCCGAAATGTACATCACCTAAATATTTCAAAAGGTGATTTCACAATGACCTTCATGCACTTAATATGTTAGTATTTTAAACAAGAAAAAAGAAAACCGAAAGCATACAAAAGGCCACTGTAAGTTTTCGGCCGTTATAAATCAAAAGAGAAATTGATGCGTGTTCTGCATTTGTAAAACGTGAAACGATACGTCAAGTAACGTGTACTTTATTGTTAAACTAAATTGAGTATGGAGATTTGTAAAAACTGTGGTATTTTAGCAGTTGACATCATTAGTTAGTCTAAGTTGGACCACCAGTTAAAACCTGCAAGCATTGGATGGCCATTTCACTATAGCATAAGACTCAGATTTGCTCATCCCTCAGGGGTTATACAAAGACGTAGATTGATTAAAGGCAGACAATAACCCTGTTAGGTCCCAGCTCAGTGGTCTTGATTAAAAACGTTCTCATGTGAGGCCGAACGTTCTGGTTTTGAGTTATTAAGCGAGTACTGCTGAGGAGTCACATGCTGCGATTAATAACTCATTCTGTGCCCTCAGGTTTGTACTGGTAGTTTGCCTTAGATCGACTCATGATTTCAACCCCGAGTATTATTCAAGTGTCTTTACATAACAATTACAACTTCTATATTACTTCTTTATTTTGGTAACTCTATGTTTCGGTCTTCCCGTATTAACTTGTCCTCGGTAAATACTTCCTGGTTTCGTTATTTTTTACATTCTGAATCACAATCTTTCGTAACCCACGTATTGCCTTTAAGTGACGGGAAAAAATGCATGAAAAACTGTCGAATTATAGCGGCAAAGATACCGATACAAAACAAATGATATATCGGTAGTTGTTATAAAATAATTCGGTTATGTATTTCTACAATAAAGAAACTTGACGTAATTATTTGAAGTGGTTGGCGAAAATTTTCACAACAGCGATCACAACATAGTCCTCTGCACCCTCCTGATTCTTATCATGTGTAACAAATTAAAGACAAAATACGAGTTTTTAATATAGAGACTATGCAAACGCTGATTCGGAAAATTTTCGATTTCTAACAAAGCACTCTGACTGGAGCAATTTCTTTACCAGTGATAACCTCTTAGAAACATTAGAAATATCCAATACCACCACTAAGTCTACGCTAGACACTACTATATACTTTAAAATTGCTTTTAAAACAATTACTACTTACATAAACCGAAAGGCTAGGTATAAACTGCGAAAACTGAAAAGGACGTACTATATATCAAAAGACTTCAGTGCCCTACACCAGATATACTCTGTAGTTGACGGAGTACAAAGTCAACACAACAGGCATAAACAGGCAGAGGAACGTACTGCGCTCACGGCGCATCTAAAGCCCAAAGCTTATGTCGTCTCCTCGTAAAACGCATAAGAAAGAACGCAGATCACAAAATTCACTGCTTACTGCACGATAAAGTGACGTATAATGACCAAACCGTCATATGTGAACCATCAAGTGAATGGTTTTCCCGCAATGGGATTGCATCTCATGCCATAGATATCAACATAAAGTGCGTCAGCAAAAATCATCTTAGTACCATAAACTTCGACATTAGGAGTATACATACCGCTATTAAAACCCTTAAGCCAAATGGCAGTTCTGATGCCGATGATATCCCTTCAGTCCTTTATGAAATTTCAGGACCGGACATACAGACACTACTACTCAAAACATACACATTATCTTTAGAGACAGGTACAAATCCGGAAACCTGGAAGGTAACGCATGTAATTCCCAGACACAAATCCGGACCGAGAAACCTGGTCAAAAACTACAGATCCATAAATATCACTACAGTCATATCACGAATAAAGGAAAAAGTGATAGAAAATCAACTATCTGATCACCTACTCAAGGAAGATCTAATAGACCCGTAACAACCCGGCTTCATTAGAACAAGGTCGTGCAGTACATGTCTGATAGACTTCTTTAACGAGGTTACTCGTATACGCGACCAGAAGAAACTAGTTGTTATACTATATTTCGATATTAATAAAGCCTTTGATAAGATACCTCATAATCTTCTAATCAACGAACTTAAGTCAGCTGGAATTAGAAACACCTTTTTGCAATGGATCAAGTCTTTTCTTACGAACAGAGCAACAGAGCAAATAACCAAGATCAATTCTACAACATCTACTCCTCGACCAATAACCAGTGGTGTTGTGCATGGTAGTATTGTAAAATTATGGTCTACCATGATATTAGTACTGCTCTAATAATAGACCTATTCCTAAATTTGTAGATTTGTCATGATATAACTGCCTAATCTATAAGATCTTACGTGGAAGTCACACCATCGACTACACCAACTCACTGTATCGTATCAATTACCAATACATGATGTAGAACAAGGTTAGGCTAGAGAAAGAACAATATATTTAATATGAATAGAAGATATAAAGTAACATTGAGATGGACCACGTCTGCATGGACGAGCCATGCCATCCGATCAAACCCAGTCCATTCAATTCATTCTCCGCGCCTTCTCCATTGTTAGGTATTTCTCCGAGTTAAATATTGAATATCTATTTTCTGAGTAGTCTCGTGTTCACAGCTTTGTGGATTGTGTGGCTATTGTCCAATGCCACTACACTACTCTCCCACCAGAATCAACGTGATGTTGGTTCGATACCAAATTGGATGGGATCGTCGCGCGCCGGAGGTTACCAAGGATAATAAGGATCCTCCAGGTATTGATAAGCTGAAAGATATATCAAAAAGACGGCAGCATCTGGTCGGGAAATACATATAATAATCTTAAAATATCTGCTTTCATGATTAACACGCTTAAAATGAAAATTTGGGTGAAGATTATTTGAACTATAAAAATGGGATTACAATAATAATAATAATAAAACGATGTGCGTTAATAACTTAACTTATAGGCAGTAATTATTTTGTGCTTAGAAATATTAAAATAATGAATATTGTAGAAATGTTAATATTGGTATTAGTTTTGGTTTAAATTATGAAATCAGATAACGATTATGCCGGTAAGTTGTCCATAAGAGTTGAATTCCAATTGCATCTGTATTAGTAGGCTAACTGAAGGAACAAAAGTATACCGTGGAGAAGAATTCCAACTAGTGTTCCAGTCAGTTTGATACGGTTCATTTAGTTACGGGTAGATTTTCTCAACCTCATTTTTACTGGACCGTGATAGAATTTAGTAATACTACTAACACACATGAATGTTTATCAAAACAAAATTTAAATACGTAAGTGATGATTATATGAATTTTGGACAGATAGCTAGGAACAAATCGTTAAACATGAGTGTATTCGTAAGAGACATGCTCTAGACTCAATGTTCTGATCTGTGGCAGACTATTTATTTATATTTATACTTGCTGGCTGATTGGGCATACAAGTTAGTTGCAAGTATGCAGTTTATAATAAGGCGGAATACGATTTAATTGAGATATAGTGGTTATAAGTTATTAAAATCAGTTAGGCCTGTGTCATATTACGAAGTGATGTGGTATTGCAAGATGTATTTAGCTAAATAAGTTTTTACAAGATGATTAATGGTGAGTGATGCTCATGTGATTATCAGGGAGAACATAAGTTGTAACCAGGGGGAGTACACTCCCAACTCATGTCTATGATAATGGCTTGAACCTTAGTCAGTGTTGGGGTAAATTCGACATTGATGTTTTCAGTTTGCAGGAGATTTGCTCGACTGCTTATACTGATTATTTGCATGCATGATTGTGTCGCTATACCATCAATTAGACTGACAAGGTTTTGAGATATTTACTGAATGAGCAACTGATAGAGAAACCTACTGTAATCATCTGTAGTGAATGAAGATAAAAGAAAAACAACACTAGTGATAATTATAAGTCAATTTGCTGATCGATTTTGTTAATAGTTTCATTAATTTTATCAATCATATTACGTGATTGTCAAGTCATGACAATGCTTTATGACGATATCCTCGAACTATTATGTTTAACTAGTTATAGTGTTGAATAAGGATTAGTCAGTGGAAAAATAGGTATTGTTGCTTTAAGTGATTCGAATTTATCAGAAATTTATAACGTTAAAGAATCCGAGACGCCTAATTTAATTATAAATTTTATATCAGAAAGATTCGTTTAGTGTTAATTCTAGTAGGCTACGGAGTTTTGATTTTAAACGTTTATTTAGCCAACAGCTACCTAGGGATTTAGTTATTTTACAGGTGCAGTTGAGAGTACCTAAATTTTTAATCTTATTATCTAAAGTATGTTTGTATTTTAGGCTGCTACTATGATTAACCAATCCATAAACCCAAATATGATTAGCAACAACGACTATAGTGGGTTTATTGATAAATGTTAAAGGCGATTCAGATGATTTCTAGATTCAAAAGATATGAAGATATAGTGTAACGTATGTACGGGCCACGTTAACATGCAGGTTGTTGACGTATATAAAAATTTAAAAATAATGAACATGACCAGGAAAAGTAATTTTAAAGTCAAGACTGCAAGAATGTAACGCGTTATAAACATTCCATAAGAAGTTACTGCATTTAGCCTAGTGACACTTACAAATATGTGGCAAAAGCAAGTGGAAAGCATATACATGTTAAGTACAAAAAATCATTAAGTAAAATAGTTGAACTCGCCTGGATTATTTTTGAAAATTATATTATCCAGTGGACGACATATATAACACTATTCGTGAGGAGTAGTAATGATCCAAAAGTATCCAGGATAAAACATGCAGTATGGCAATTAATTCCAGAGTCCTTGATGCTGTTGACGTTCTTGCCACTCGCTCGGATCAGAACAACCGAATGAATCCAGATAATTGTGCGGTCACCATTGAACGAGCCATCTAAAATGACCTTATGATTGCAGAAAACTTATGGCTGAAACTCACCGTATGTTTTTAGAGAAGTGTCAACTTGTTGTTTGGCAATGGAACTCGAAAATTTGAAATTAGGCAGGCAGTGGTCGGAAGAAGAGATATTACAGGATAGTGCATAGTTTAAAACAGGATGAGGTAATAAGATAAGGAACACTGAATATTAGATCCAGGTAACTATTTAG